CGTGTATTTCAGAGTCCCTGACATTCAAATCTACCAGCACTAATTAAAATGCAACTGATTATAATTAATAAGAGTTCCCAACAACACATAATGCAACCTGACGTGCCTAATACAGTGATGGATTCATAAACATAATTGCACAAATAACTCAGTATATTAGAATATCACCCTTATATTATAATAAAAGCTCCCACTTACGTGAAGACCTGGGTTGACACCGTGACTAAGTAAGGCCTACGAAAAAATGTTGTGTCTCTGGTTTTCCGACCAACCCTAGCTTTTTTTGATCGACTGTTGGTAAGGCTATAAATTTTCTGACATCTGAATGTCAAACCCTCTTAAGTCTGAAACGTATCATTTAATGCATCAAATTTAACAGAAGCAATTTTTCCTTCATTAAATCAGGTGAAACATTAGTCCGCAAGCAAACAGGTGGACAGGGCCTAGAGACAGTCCCAATGCATTGTCAAACTTTACTAAGTCTTAGTTTAATCACTTTAGCCGAAATCTTTAAAAAATTTAACCCCAGTCCTGCTGGCATTTCTTACACAATATTTTTCAATAATTTCATGTCTTAATCAGGTCATAGACCCCTGACTTTTTTTGCTGGTGTAGTTGTAAGGAGGAAAGGTCTAAGGTAAGGTAAAGGTGGTGTAGTTACTTCTGCATACGTTGCATTTCACTGCAGTGTGATGCGTTGCACGAGAAACACCCCCAAATCGTACACACACAGCGTGCTTTACAGATGGTACTGTATGTGCAACTTATATATATATATATATATATATATATATGGGCTCAACAGGACAAGTTGAAAAATATGAAAATCCCTAACTACGACGACATTTTTTTCAGGACTGGAACCAGAAACACAACACTAATTTTCCTAAGCCTGAGATTTCCATCATGCAGACGTTGTGCACCCAGGGGCCAATTCCTCACAGCATTTTATCATGATAAATCACCCAAAAAGCACCAGACACTTTTCAAGGCCAAGGCCAACACCACATTTAAACAAATTGAATCAGGCTGCAGTCAGCACGGATTTCTCTCAACACATTTCCACGACGCTTGAGTCACAGTGAGTGGGTGAAGTATATAGTACTGCAATTGAGCTATAGTGTAGGAATATCTAAAAAAATGTCACGACGGCATGCCCAAGACTTGCTAGAGATTTGATTCTTTTATACCTCGATATTTACTAAGTTATGATGATTTTTGCAACTTGTATACATCCCAAAATCAAATGCAAGTCCAGAAATATTTCTTGTTGCATTATAATTATGATATAGGTGTCTGTAACAGACTATGTTGGGTAATATTAATTATCATTATTATGATAATGGATCTTACTGTTACTGTTCGTCCAATCGCGATACTACAACACATAACCTTTCTTTGGTAGCATTTTTCATAAATTTGTTCCTGAGGCCACACCAATTTAATTTCTTGGTTAACGGATTCGCCTCTTCATTTTTTTCTGATTTGCAAATAAAAATAAAAATTCAGAATCAACTGCAAAATGCTTATATTTTGCCCTGAACAGTTGAAAACAGTCCTTTTCTTCCTAGTCGTTACAGTTGGGGCTATAATAGGATGCCTAGATCTGTTTTTATTTTTATTTTTTTTCGCCCTGTCGCTTCATATTTTTCCTGAAAAAATCCGAGAACCAACAAATTAAATTGGTGTGGCCTTATGATAATGGCTCTTACTGTTACTGTTCGTCCAATTGCGATACTACAACACATAACCTTTCTTTGGTAGCATTTTTCATAAATTTGTTCCTGAGCTAGAAATTGCAGGCACATTTTATGTTGTGCATCGCAATTTTTTTTCTAAGCTCCCATTGATTTAGATTAGGTGTACCAGCTTTCTTGCATACATGTCATTTATTTTTCGTTGTTATGTATTTATTTTTAAGTGCAAACAAACTGATAACAAGCAACGATGCAACTGTTCCTAAAAAATGAATTTGGAGCCTGCACAGTTAAATCTGCGGATCACTTTTGGCTTTCAGGTCTCTTATCGCCAGCGGCTGTCTGTCTGTCAGGAAGTGGAAATAGGTCAGGTCATCGTTTGACCTTTTCGTGCACTCTGGCTGGGGGATCCCATCCACAGGTTCATAGCACGTCTGCAGAACGTACTGCACCTGCGCAAAACTATAGCGTGAAACCGTAATATATTGTGCATAGCACTTTGGCAGTACATCTCATATAAGGTGGTATTCGTGCATATAAGGTTAATATCCCATCTGTAGTTTCCAAATGTTAAGTCGGAAAAGATATCTTCTGCAACAGGCAAAATTCTGATGCAACGTTGACAAAAAATCCGACAAAAACCGTGAAAAATGAAAACATTAGCTAAACCAGGTGTCCCTTTATTTTCTGGGTACCTCCCATAATTAGGTACAACCAGCCTATAATACAAAACAAGCAACCATTTTCCTTTTATTTATCAATTACTAGCGGCATTGAATTTTTGCCTAACAGATATCAGTATCCTATGGGATAGAGTTGATTCAACTTAGTATAATACTACATTAAAAGAAAGACCAGAAAATTGACTTTAACATATCCCTGTTGTTCACATCAAATCTGCTAGAGGGCACCCTGCTGCCTATATGGTTAGCATATAGTAAGATCGGTCTTTGCTACTATAGTGCTAATCATGTATAAAATATAAATTCATATAGAAGCTACTACACTTTCAATACATGATCCTGGTCAGTATATCTTTTCTGATCTATGTTGTGGTCACCTGAAATCAGTTCTTGGTACCCCCGGTACATGTAGCAGTGCAGAATATAACCCTGGATGGATTATACCTGAGCAAAAGTGTTCTTGGCAGCTATTTTTCTTTGCATGCCAAGGTGCAATTATGATGCTTAGGCCACACCAATTTAATTTCTTGGTTAACGGATTTTTCTAGAAAAATAATGGAGCGGGCGGGCGAAAAAAAAATAGAAATAAAAACAGGCCTAGGCATCGTATTATGGCCCAAAATGGTACGATAGGAGCCATGAAGTCAACACACCAGGCTGGTTCAAAATTTAAACAATGAATTTTGAACTTTTAATGATACCATTGCATTGAAAGATGGAATAACAGTAACAGTTACAACTAGGATGAAAAGGCCTGTTTTCAACTGTTCAGGGCAAAATATGAGCATTTTGCAGTTGATTCTGGATTTTTATTTTTATTTGCATATCAGAAAAAAATGAAGCGGCGAATCCGTTGACCAAGAAATTAAATTGGTGTGGCCTTACTTCGTCTTAAATTATGCCACATATGATGTGACATTTTGTTTCCTGTGACTGTCTAAAAATTGTCTTCACTTTATTTACACATCAATTCTTAGTTTTTTGATTAAGATTAGTCACTGACGAAAAGTAGTGGATGGTACATAAAACATCTAACAGTTTTCAAAACTTATCCAGTTGCTCGAGTAAGAATTTCTTGTGGATGTGGCATTAAATCTTATTCAGCACTGCATGATAAAAAAGATCAAGCCAGCCGTCTTGTTAAAGATAACCTGGTTTGTTAATACAGAATGGAAGCACATGGCTACTGGAATGAGGATTGCAAATTTCAAATTAGACTGAACTCTGGGTAGCAACATCAGGTTCATATCCTGCTAGCTTTTGATAGTGACATTGACATTGAGATAGAACACAACATCAAGTTCATCATGTGCAAGTAAAAATAGAACTGAATTTAATGTGAAGGTCTTGCGGATTATAAATCACCCGATGGAATTTGTGCATTCTAGTAAGGCAGTTGTACAATTCAGAGGCATTCAAAATAGCACTATGGCACAATGCTAATATTTTTTTCCAACTGAACAAACTTTTTGAATTATAGTACATTTAGATATTTGCCCATGATTTAATATAATGGTCTGCATTTTTCCAAAGGACCACCTTAAGTTATTGACCAGAACCAGTACATAAAAATGAAAGTTCAATCTAGTATCTACTATGTTAATAAGAGATTGTCGATCTAGTTTGCAAGCCACCCCCTTGGATTACATTGACAACTGCATGAACCTATAGCACCCCCTCTACCACTGGTATGGGCTCAGAGACGCATCAATCACAACACAAGTAGCCTCCACCAGGGCATTGAGCCCAGGAGTCTCACAGCTAGACCTTGGGTACAAGGCTATGGAGCTAACTAACCAGGGCTGGAAACTCATTATGTTTACAGAAGGAAAACATAATTATTGTTTTTTTTCTGTTTCCTCTTCTTCTTCTTCTACAAACCAATAAGGTCAATGCCCTCAACCAGACGTCTGTCACCATGGTAACTGGTGTTGGGTTACATCATGTTGCAATTCTATAGCAGGAGGGATTTAAACTTCTGTCTGACCATATATGAATGTGTTTGAGTAAGAATTAACAGAACAGACCATATGCGAAGGTAAATACCGTGCATTTGCTTTGCAAATGTTCCATTTCCAGTTATAATTGGGAATAGGTGCAGTGAAGCCTAAATCACATGCAAGTCAGCAACAGGTTTCAGTGCACCTGACTAAGGGTTCGGGTCATTCCAACTTGACAAGGGCCAGAGAACTGGCCAAAAGCTCACTCGTAAGCACTAAATACTCTTGTGTACAGTTATAGCATTTGAAATCTTCATAACTTATTTCATTTACTGTCATAGATGAAATTTCTTTCCACTACAAATCTTGTTGTATTACAACTAGACTGACAGTGATCATCTCGCAGCCTTCTTCACTGGATTTTAACCTTTTAACCTTCTCCCTGCTGCCTAACCCCATAACCAACACAGCTTGTTGCCAAATGGCAACCTTAGCAAGCTGAAGGTTAATGGAGACCAAACTTACTACCGGTATGTCTACTAGGCTGGCACTGTTCATCTTTTTCATTGGCATTATAGATTTTTAAACTTTTCTTGCTACTTAAGCTGAAAACCAACACAGCTTGTTGCGTTATGGCTACCTTAGCAAGCTGGGGGTTAATCAAGAAAAAAAGAACTTACTGTCTACTAGGCTGGCACTGTTCATCTGGCAGTCTTTTTCATCGGAATTATCTTGACAGTCTTTTCTGCCGTTGCACACCAACTGCATAGTGGGAAGGCATTGGTTGTCACTGCACTGGAACGCGCATGTCACTTGCTCTGCAGAAAAACAACAACACAAAGAAGGCATCAGAAATTTCAGGAAAGGAATGTGATCTTGATCCAGTTTTCTAGCTGCCACCACGTCGCATGCCTGTGAAGCTGGTGTGTTATGCCAAATTGCAGTTATACCGGCTATACCGATGCAGATTTTTGCTCACTGAAGAGCTAATCTCCCACTGGTCGTGACAGAGAAGACAGACGCTATATATGTACTGGGATGTATTTTTGTGAATGTATAACTATTAAAACAGTATATATACTATTAGAACTGTGGACTGGATTACACGATTGTTATTCAATCGGAAATTACACCATGTATGACCAACCTTTTCCCCTGCATATGTACGTTTGCAATTGGTAATAAATAAAATGAATAATGTAAATGCTAATTTTAGATATTCTCTCTCCAAAGTTTTGATCATGAAATGATAGCATGATATATCACACATTATCCCAGCTAAACTGCCAGGCAGTATATGTGTGGGTACCTTCATTATAACACTATTAATAGTCCCAACCTCTTGCATGTGAATTGCTTCTAATACAGTTATAGAGTCATAATTTCACCGAGAACAGGTCCATTAAATTCTGCAGTAGCAGTCACGGTACAGCGGCTAATTAAAATGTCATTGACGATCCAGGCTGCATATGTATCACGTTTCAGGTCCTTCTGTTCCGCTCACTTCAGCGCATTAATCAGTCTGAAACCCGCCCACCCCACGGCTCCAAACTCAGTTTTGCAAATATAAAGGTGCACTGCTGTACCCAAACTAAAAAATTGGGTGCATAAAAAAAAATTTGGGGGGGTGTACCATATGAAATAATATAAGTAGAATATCAACAAAAACTAATTATGTTACATTTCTGAAGGAAAATACTACAACGAAGATTTAATTAATAAATATAAATTTTTCTGACACTGAGATGTCAAGAATATTTGATATGATAGTAAACATCTTTACATACATGTACATAAACCTAAGAAAATATTTTAATGCACTGGTGCACACACAGAAAAAACACTGGGTGCACAGCTCCAATTTTGGGTGCACCAACTAAGGTGCACATGCAACCAGTATTTCGAGCCCTGCACCCTGTACCCAGTAGCCCGGGGCTTGCACAGTGTATAATCCCCCACCCTCCCACCCACACACCCACACAGACACAGACACATGATGTATCTCTGTGTTAACTCAACATCCCTTCAACCACAACTATTTCCAAATGGCTCCCACCCCGGGGCGCTTAGTGCCCTTTCACGGGTAAACTCGGTCAGACGGCGTGGATTCGTTCCTGACCCCCCCGCCTCACCTCCAACGGTCCTACTCCACACAGGAGTGTGTTAACCTTTCAGGCGTTGTCACCTGCGCGGTGAGAATAGCCCGGCTCGCACACGAAGCAGCCAGGCCGGGGGGAGACAAATGGGGCTCGGGCACGGCAGAGGCATTCATCAGCTCCTGACCAAAGGGCACGAGACAGCGGGTTATTAAAAATTTACGGGCTGTCGGAGGATGATGTGTTATCTGTGATCCACCTGGGGGAGGGACAACAGGTGGGTCTGACGCGCGCAGACGCCGTATCCGACCTCTTATCGGGGAGGGAGGGAGTCCCAGCGACGCGGACCACCCCACGCGCATTGGTCATGAAGATATAATTTCTTACCGGTCTGCTAACGCGACGATCGGTGAATTATGGTTTCATCAGGTTGGTAAATCACTCGGGGCTCGAAATCCTTTTTTTTTTTTTTTCTGCATACCTGCATACTCAATTGTAAGTGGTGCTGGTACAATGTGTCTGGTGCAGGCAACGCTGAAAATTAACTGCACAAGACACATTTTACCCAAATTACAACTGAGAATTTAGGAAGTATAATCATACTAAAACTGTTAAAAAGACATTACCATTATTACATTTAATACATCTTAGAAGGTCAATGTAGCAAATACAAATCCACATACGTATACATCTAGATGTATCTATACACCCAGTACATGGATCAGTACAGGTACACATCGGAAATACCTGTACAGCTGTAATTTTACCTGCACTAATTGCGTATACTGGTCGTGTTTCCAGCCAAATTCTCTGTATACCACAAAAGAGTTAATACATTAAGCCGTGCACAGTGTGAGGTAGGACCAGTTAGCAGTTAGTATTGCCCTGAGGAAGGGTCACCAAAACATCAGACAGGTGCTAACTCTTTGGTGGCGTACAAAGAAGTTTTTTATCCAGTATACACTGTGGCATGCTTAATATTGATTTCATATACTGAGGTCTTCTCTCGTGTCTGCTGATCCAGACTTAGATAAGAAAAGCCTGGTCTGCCCAGGAATCATCAGGTCTTCAAGGCATCAATGTAATTTCTGGGGCGGTGGAACTGGATTTTCAAAGTCAATTTTCTGGTCCTTCTTTCAAATGTAGTAGTACCTGGTACACTGTAAGTTGAATCAATAATTCTATCCCATCGCACAAACTGATACCTGTGAGGCAAAAATGAGAATCTGATGTTGCTTGTTTTGTATCACAGACTGGTTCAAGTTATTTATGGGTGGTGCCAAAAAACAGTAATAAATAAATTTATGACAGTCAGATCCTATTATCATCTGCTACCTCCCTCCACTACACACACTATCAACATTATTCAGAACAGCTATCAAATATAGAATTGGAAAAAAAGGCAATAAACTGTGCTAATAATAGTTTGAAAATATAACAAGAAGACAGATTATGTAAGGCTAAGAGTACAAGAGCTAATGATGTGAATGTTCTATCTAACACCATTCTGTGATGTAAACGGAAGTAACTTCAGTACTGTGGACAAAACAACATGTCTGATATCAAGGATAGATATGGACATATCGGTACCACTTTTTAATGGAAGCTGAAAGTAATAGTACCTCTCTTAGATTAAGTATTCGTAAAAGCTCAAGCTATATTCCAAATTATATATTATCTACAAAAAAATTTTGGCTTTATAGTTTGAAAAGGAAATGCGATCTTTTCATTACTTTTTTTCAAAGCAGGAAAAAATGAAGAGGAGAATCTGAGAAACAAGATATGAAATCAGTGTAGCCCAAACTTAATCAACGCAGGTATTGGAGGTGACAGAAACGCTAAGATTTGAAAGCAAATGACTAGAAGACAAATGAATTGCCACCTTGTTCTAATCCCCTGCTGAAATATTTAAGCATCTGAGGCAAGTGCTCGATTAACAATTGATGGCAAACATCACTGAGAAACAATATTTAACCAAACAAGCATTCTTATGCGTCATCACGTCATAAGAAATGATGCAGCATGTTCATCATACCAATGAACATTTAGCAGTGCCACAAATACACACAACACCACTGTTACATAGTCTAGACTTGTAAGTTAATCCAATTCCACGTCTATCACCGTACTAAAGGTATAAGCATTCTTTCTTTATTCATGACACCAAAAAGCAAACCTTACAGCAGGAATAACACTCCCTGAATTGCAAAGAGTTTGCGTAGAAAATTACAACGGATAAGACAGGCAAAATATACATCCTTCATATACATTATAATAGATTATTTTGTACCAAGCAAAATCTTACCCCAACACTGTTGCACCTGAGGGAAGAAGCAGTTTTGTATCGACGTAGGTTCCAGTACGAGAAATAAACGCGTCCGCTCCTTTCCCCGCTACACACACTCACTCACACACAGTACACACACACGTACACCTGCCGGTACGTAATAGGGACTACCTGTCACGTACTGTCTGGGTGCAGGGATAAAGAGGATACGTTTTACCCCACACGGATTTAGAGAGGGAGTTCTCTGGAGGCCCGTCTGACATTTTAATTTACAGCAGCTGCCGGTAGTGATGGAGGGCTACTGCCGCTGCACCCAAGGCTGGGCTCATCGCCCATGCACACTGGCAGACCAGGAACTGTAGCTTCTACACTGGCAGACCAGGAACTGTAGCTTCTACACTGGCAGACCAGGAACTGTAGCTTCTACACTGGCAGACCAGGAACTGTAGCTTCTACATGCACACTGCTAGATCAGGAACTGTAGCTTCTACATGCACACTGCTAGATCAGGAACTGTAGCTTCTACATGCACACTGCTAGATCAGGAACTGTAGCTTCTACATGCACACTGCTAGATCACGAACTGTAGCTTCTACATTCACACTGCCAGATATCTACATGCACACTGCTAGATCAGGAAATCTAGCCTCTATGGCCAGACTACAGGAATTAAAGGAGCAAATGGAGCTAAAAGAGGATGGCCCGTTTTCTTTTTTTGTTGTTGCTACCCCCACCTACCCCTTGGGTTGCGCATGGACCCTCTCTGACCAATGGATACTGCCTGGCCAATTTGATACTGTTCTTTTGCCACCCTAGGATCTGCTTGGAGATTACTGCATATCCGGTTAGTTCTGTGGTGAAGGCTGGACTTATCGCCTATGCACATAGCCAGATAACTAGGAAATCTAGCCTCTACCAGGCTACAGTGGGTTTCTCGAATCGGGTAGTAGACATTGGCCAAATTGTAGTCGAGGAACTATATCCCCTAACAGACTCCAGGATTGAGCAAATGGAAGTAAAGGAGCAAATGGAGCTAAAATAGGATGGCTATACCAGCTCCACTGTACCCAGTAATATACTCTCATGCTTTGAATATCAGGGCTCGAAATACCACCACGTCCTGTATATCCAGGTTAGTACTGCAGCGAAATCTAGACTCTACCAGACTACAGTGGGATTCTCGAAGATAGTAGATATTGGCCAAATTGCAGAGTAATATAATGCCATAGACGTTATCTGGCCATAGGAGTAAGATTTTTGCGTGGGTGGCCAGGTGTACTCCTCTGGAAGACTAACTCCTCTTCGGAGTCCTCTGGCACATTATTCTGCCGTTTGGCCAATTCTATCATCTTCCAGCAACCCATTAGACTTAGAGTATGCAGAACTCTGCTTGACCCAGAAACCTACAGTCCCAACTGCCCAAGTCCGCTTAGGG